AGGTAGTTTACTAAGCTTTCCTAGTTGACAACTATCACAAAAATGTTGTGAAGTGGACCAGAAACACTAATAAGATTTTTATTTCGCAAACGATGAACACTTGATTCTTGTGGATGACCGAGACGTTGTTGCCACAAATCACCCTTCCGTGTGCTCTTCATGATTGCTTGACCTGTTTTGCGATCCTTTATAGAAAAATGAGCATGAGAAAATTCACAGTTTATCAAAAAGTCAGAAGTAAGTTGACTAATAGAAAGTAGATTGCGTTTGAGATCAGGGACAAGTATGACATTAGATAAGGGCAAGATATTATTTTGGCGAAGAAAGGCAGTACCAATACCTGTGATTGGGACAGAGGAACAATCACCGAACATGACAGAAGCACAAGCATGAGAGGGAGTAATGGTAGTTAGCATACCTGGAGAGCCAGTCATGTGGTTTGTAGCGGCTGTATTAGAGGTCCAATCAGGCTCCGTAACGGTATTATCCAGCGTGAGAGCAGTGAGAGCTTGAGGAAGAGAGTTGGACGGAAGAGTAGTTGAGGGAATCCACCAACAAATCTTAGCAACGTGCCCAGGAAGACCACAATATTGACAGGTTTGGTTACGGTACTGTTCGCGTTCAGGAGGAGACATATGTTTTTTTCCAGGTGAAGGAGGTTTGCGTGACTGAGAGGAATTGCCTGATGAAGCAGAGGAAACAGCGCGTTGTAGCTGTGGATGAAAGCAACGACCAGTAGAGGAGAAATTGACATTGCGATAACGAGGCTGAGACGATTTTTGAGTGTTACTGTAATACGCAAGGTGGGAAGGCTGAGAGAGGTGGGATGACTCAGATTGAGCAAAGAACCAGAACCTACGCTGATCAAGGTTTTGAAGATGAGAAACAAGTTCAGAATAAGACGGACGGGGAGGCTTCAACATAGTGGCGGTGAAGGTCTTATATTGGGGACCTAAACTATGAAGAGGAAAAATAAATATGAAGAACATTAATAAAAGAGAAACGAGAGATGAATTAATTGAATGGCTACATTGTGATTGATTGACTTATCTCCAAAATAAAGAACTAATGCCATATTTGTAGGCATTCTGCATTATTAGATAAAAACTACTACACTATTAGATAAAAACTACTCTTGATAATCACTCTTGATAATTTTTCAGGAATAATTATTATTAAATTAAATCCTCCTTCAACTACTATTAATCATAATCTTTAATATCCTCCATCAAACTGAGTCGGAGTTGGAGACTCAGTTTGCTTTGATTGTGTTGACACCTTTCTCATCCTTCATAACAGGAGTAGTGAAAAACTTGTAGACCAACATCGATCCTTTGTCTTGAGTGATTCTGACCATCTTTTGGACGACTTGCTTGAAATTTTTGTTGCTTTGTTAGATTGTGGTATGACAACACAAAACTCTTCTTTTAAGAGAAGATGACTTTTGCCATATTGAAAATTTTTGTAAATGTTAGATTATTGTATGACAAGTCAAAACTCTTTTTTTTTTAAAGAGAATCTAACTTTTGTCATAATGGGAATTTTGTAGAGTGACTCGGAGGTATCTTTCCTCTTTGTCTAAAATTTGTGGATCAACTAAAGTTGATTTGTGAAAGAAAAAAAGAACAATAAAACATTTTGGTTCAATGGATTGATTTGTGAAAGAGTTGTGGGGACTAAGGACATTCTTGGGAGAATCAAACATGAATTTGGGATTAGCAGCAGAAGAGAAGTGATTTGGGATTTCAGGTTTAAAACATGACACAACTGTTGATATTCATGACTGAACTAATCATTATTTATTTGGTGAAAGAAAAAACAAGTAGAAGTATGGCACAGAAGCAGGGCGAAACCTGCTCTAATACCAAGAAAAAAGTAAACAAAGGCTATGGAATACTTCTGTTGTTTTTATTGACTTGATTTCAAACTCAGTGATACATTGATACCTCTATTTATAGACAAAGGTAAATCATTGATAACTTGTAAACTAAACTAGTAATTATCTAATTTATAGGATTGTTTGAATAACTAACAGAAGTAATCTTACGAGGATTGAGTTGTTCTAGGACCTCTTATCAACATCCATATCATACGGTTGAGTATGATCAACCTTATCACTCCAAGACTCTTTATCGCTCCTCATACTCGGGTTGTTTAACTCGGACGGAGACTGGGAGGAGATAGTATCATTGACAGATACTACTATTAGGTGATGTCTCGAAGTAGTATGAGTTTTTCAAAAGGGTGCATGAGTTCTATCTAATCTTTGGAATCTTTGAGTTATTGTATCTAGAAAGATAGACTCAGCATGACTCTCCAACTTATGATGAACCGTTTGGAGGACCTCTATGTGAGATGACGTCATCACCGTGGATGACCATTTAGTGCATACATTATCAGCAATTTAGCACATGAAATTAAATTTGGTTTTTTCATTTTCGTTTTCTTATTTTTTGCCTTTAATGTTTTGCTTGTGATGACTCACACCCTCATTATCGTTTCTAGGGTAGAAGTATCTGTCGGTATTATGATCGATTTGGTGTTTGCAAGTTTGGCGTTGCGTGACTGTTTGACCATCCCGGAAAATCTTAACTCGTTAAAATCTCAAGATTGGTCCTCTTCAAAGCCTGCATCTGATCATTATGGTGGATCTTAGGCGAATGATTAGGGGCTGAAGATGATTTGAATTTGAGGCAGAGCATTTATATTAGATTCACTGTTAGACATTTTTTAGTCGGGAAGAGAAACAATTGAATGCAAAATTGCGACACAATAATTAATAAATGAGTTAATTTTACATGGCATAAATGCTGAGATTTAAATCACTACATCAAAAAAAGTTGGGAGGAGAAAAAGAAACACAAATTAAGCACCCTTTCATCTTCATCACTTGAGTAAAGACTTCACTATGGACTTGGAATTCAGCTTCTTCAAATTTGCGTAAGATTGCCCACATCCAACAAACATAATGGGTGCTCTCGATGCTCTATCAAACTAAATACTTGTGATTGTGTGTATAAAAAAAAAAAACCAGAATTCCGTCAATCAACCGGGGATTATCACGCGAAGGCGAAAGCTCCCCGAGTTTCTGATTAAACTTTGACAACTGATCCACACCATCTAACCTGATTTAGTTTCATTCCTTTATGCTCTCTAAATGCCAAATTTATTTGGAGCATATTTTATTTCAATCTTTTCATTATAACATGCACCTAATATTTCTTAATCTTGTAAATCATACTATTATTTTATTTACAAGATGCGTCACGCATCGCGCGATGAATATTAGAATTAGTATATATGTATGTACTAGGAGCTTGCTCGGGTGTTGTGCGAATCATTTACAACATTATATTTTAAAATTAAATATACAAATGGTAAAAGTATTTTTCAATTTTAGAAATAATAAAAAAATCATTTATTTATATCATTAATGTCTTATCCTATTAATATTAATTGATTAATCATAATTAAGGACAAGGAAAGTTAACACAATTAAAGATTGTATAAATTAATTTTTTTTTTTTTGTCACAAAACTAAGTAATTTTTGTTGGGCAGGAAACAGATGCATGAGAACGCGACACGTCAGTTTTTTTTTCTCTTGGACTATTATTTTAATAAGATATATATATATATATATATATGTATTCAGTTTGTGGTTAATGTAGTCGAAGTAATTTCTTTTTCGCATGGTAAAAATGTATGTCTTTCATTTTTCTTTTTCCTTTTTCGTAGGAGATGGATTCTCGACCTGTATAAAATTTCAGCTTTTTTTTGGATAAAAATCAAAGCGAAAAATAAATACTATCTATCTCCAAAAAAATAGTCCACATTGATTTTTGAGATTTGTAGTATTCAACTCTTAATTAACAAGTTCTGACAATGACATTTTGTATAGATCTATTACTATTAGATGCAATGCGTTTAGGGAGTGACAAATCAACACAAGTTGTGAACTTGATCTCTTTTAGTTTGAAAACGTTAGCAACTTGTAACACTGGTACATTGTTTCTTTTTAGACGTTTTTGGTCACAATACATGAGATCATGATGATCATCAACATCTTCTAGTCTCGACTTAGGGCAATAATTCCCGATATCATATTCATTGGGTAACGACCAACGACCACCGGTTTCAACTTTCAATCCACAAAACCTCGGCAAATGTTGAAGGAAGACTCAGCTGATCAAATTCCAGATCCAAGAATTGCCAAAGATGTGCAGTTGTTATAGTTTGATTAGTATCATTTCTTAGTAAATATGTCTTTATGTAATCAGTAGAAACCATAGGGACTAGTCTATAATTAGTCAAGGTCAGTATACAGAGCACTATAAATAGGATTTAGGCAACAGATTCTGTATTAATTTTTCCGTCTGTGAATAGAACCTTCTTTACCAGAAGTCACCATAACTTCCGCTCAAATTCGGTGAGCTAATTATCCTAAAATCTTGGGAAATTTTATGAAACCCTCTTCAATATTCGGGGATATGATATATTTTTATAATTTAAAAAAAACACAGGAGTAAATAAGGTCCTTTGTTTAATGTTTAGGAATGTTGTCAAATATATTTATACACTTTTTGACTGAACTGTTCGATCGACAGTAGTAAAATTATTATCGCAATTTTCTGGATGATTGTTAGTCACTCGAATTTAATGGAGGTCCGAATGATGAATCTCAAAAAGCTACCAAATGGGAAATACCAAAAGCAGCAAATGCTGGCCAAAGGCAGAGAATGAAAAGAGTGCAGATATAGTTCTGGCAATCTGGCCGGTGTGACGTTGTTAGCTTACACAAACATCCTTTGATGCTGACCTCCTGATCTCTTGCCTTTGTGGAAAAGAAAATGGAAAAGGACTGATAAACTTTTGGTCGTTGTTCAAAAGTTGGCGGTGGAAAATCCGTATAAAGAAATGATGCATGGCCTGTCTTTATTGACTTTCTGGGCCAATACTCAAATTAATTGGGTAATGCCGTAATGGTACAACGTTAATCCGATCTCCAAACCTACTATATATGTTGATCAGTTAGGCAAATGATACAACCATGAGAATCCCGTTTTGTTGGATATTAGGGACATTTGATGTTTCCCTAAAAGAGGTAGAGCCAACATATGCGAATTAAGACTGTATAATAATAGATTGGACGCTGGAAAAAAATTTCAAACATCCGTATACAGTATCTAAAAAATGATACAGCCATGAAATGATACAGTATCTAAAAAATGATACATCCGTATACATTACAATCAAACTTGGAAAGTGGAAAAATACAAAACACAGCCTATGAAATGTAGCATCCATTTGCAAAAGATACAAGATGATGTATTTATGATTGATGACATATTAAATCTACCCAAATATCTCTTTAGGACTAATTTGCATTTCCATCCAAAGCCCAAAAATGAAGTTGCTCAAAATTTCCTCCAACACAAGAAAGGCACAAATCAAGTACACAGCAAAGAGCCAAAAGTTTTATTCTTTTTCCTCCCCTTTCTGATCTCCACCAGTTCAACCTCCACAAATTTTTTAACACACTATACCACACTATACTACTCTCCCTTATTTACATAAACAAAGTATTCTGACATTTTCAACCACCCCTTAACCTATAACACCAACCAAGATCTCCTCTGCTAATTGCAATGTTTGCCATCAATACATTGGTGATTGCCCTTTCATAAAGGATCTTGAAATTTTAAAACTCTTGGCAAGATAAAAAGGAAGAAAAACTACAAGTCTTTTTCTTTTTCCTTTCTCTTCAACAGATAACACAAGAATTTGGATCCTCATCAGCACTGTGAATAACATAACGTTGGGGGATGTATGGATAGTGATTATAATAATTTTTCCAGTACTCTTGGATCTTTTCAGCTTCTGTCTTCTTTTTCTCATCCTCTTTCTTCTTGTCATCTTCTTTCTTCTTCTCTGCCTCTTTGGCTGGCCCAACAGATATTATCTCCGCATGCCAGTTCTTCTTCCTTAATTTCCCCACAACTTCAACTGGATCCACATCCCCAACCACAGTTAATTTCTGGTCTTTCAATTCCATGGACAGGGAATCGATGCCTGAAGCCATAAATTAAAGAAAATGAGATTATATCAGCATGAAAGTTTTTAGCAAAAAAATACCTCTTGTTTTTTTGTGAGTTTGAAATTGAAAGTTGAAACTGGAAGACATACCTGAAAGGCCTGAAACTGCTTTCAGAACCTTCTGCTTCTCCTTCTGGTCATTTGCGTCTACCTTCAACACTAGCTTCTGAAAACCCATCAAATTTGAACAATTGAAACCGGATTTAAGATAATTCTAATACGAACATCAACTTGCATTCACCAGTGATTCATGATGAACAGAAAGAATTTTGATGATCAATTCAGAAAGGCCAAAAAAAGGATGCTCTGTTTTTTAATGTTTGATCAAAAGGCCCGCACAATCTTTTTTCCACTGTAGGAGAGTGGATTATAACTGAAACTAAGCGCAACATACTTAAAAAGAGAAAGCAAAATTCCCAAAAAGATCAGTCCTTTTGGCCATGAACAGAGCCAGAAGTTCAAAGCTTTGCAGAAAAGTCAGAAAAAGTTTCAGTCTTTGTGGGTTTTTTTTTGAAAACTTCTGAAGAACAAGAGAAGGTTTCAACTTAATTGATACTGAGGAACAACAATCGTTTTCATGATTTCTAACCCAGAAATTTCCATGGCTAACTAAACCCACCCCAGAAACAGAGAAAACAGACAAATGGGCTCGAAATGAATCAAACAAAAAGAATACATATTTTTATCAATTTAATTTTAACAAAATAAGATAAAACACAGAGAAGGGAAAGGGAAGGAAATTTCACCTTCATTTCAGGCATGGTTGATGATGATCGATAGAAATGACTTAAAAAGACTTTGAGAGAAACTTTGTACAATGGAGGAAGGAAGCAGCAAAAATTTGAGAGATGAGAAACAGAGTATTCTGAGAAGGGGTTATTATATTCAACCAAACGATTCAGGGGTCAGTGTCAAATTCTTATGGATCATTCATGTATATATAGGAATACTACTACCACAAGAAAAAGAAGCCAAAAAAATTTAAATTAAATAAAAAATAGAAGAGATTTATGAAGTCATCAAATGAGGAAGTTGTGTGGCAATTGGCTTGTTGAGCAAGGAGAGATCGGAGGGAAGATCAACCAAAAGATTTTTAAAGTAATCAAACGAGTAAGTGGGCAATTAGTCAACTCTTACTACTTTACGGTTATGTGCTTGGGACTCTTTCTACATTATACTAAACACCCCCACAAAAAAAAAAAAGTGTTAAACTTGTGACAAACCGATGAAAAATGGGCTCTAAAGTACTATTGCTTTGTTTTCGTAAATACAGTAACCAAAAAAAAAAAGTAATTTTAATTGCTGATCACACAATTTTGACGATTTCTTCACCTATTTTAGTATCCCCTAAGGATATCTATTGTTAGATACCCTTATACAACGAGTTCATAATGACAAAATTAAAAATCAAAGTATGACCATTTAAGGATTGCCTAAGAACCCTAATTGTTCTCTTCCTTAGATATGGTTTTAATGAGAAATTAAGCATGCTAATAGCTTAATTCGTTCTTACATAATTAGCGTTTTGTTTCTTAATCCTTAATCAACCACGAGTGATGTAATTTCTTATTCACTACCATAATTAGCGTTTTCTTATTAAACGACTGTAGGATGCTCATTTTGTCCTTATTAGTTGTTTCTTTTCTTCTTTTCTTTTTCCCATCCAAAATACTACCTCCGTCCCAAAAAAGATAATACACATTGAGTTTTTAAACTTGTACTAAAAATAGTACAATATTTAAAATTCAATGAGAACTATTTTTGTGGAACGAGAGGAGTTGTACCTACTAAAAAAAAAAGAAGGGAGTAGTACCTACTAAAAAAAAAGTAAGTATACTTTGACAACAATTAAATGTTACTGTAATTAATAAACTGAATTTCCTCTAACAACCTACGTTAATCTTAGTTGATAAAAAAGGTTCCCCCATCTATAGAAAATTATGATAACTAAAGAAAGTTACATAATTAATTAGTCAAATGTATTTACGCGGTCCGCGCTTGGTAACAACCGCTTGTCAATTGATTAATTAATCCTCACAAACATTAAAATAGTGTTCATCTTAAACTTTGGACACTAAACTAGCAGCTTCTCGAATATGCATTATGATTTTGTTTTCCCTTAAAAAAGGCTCAACTTTTTCTAATAATCCACTAGTCGTCCTTTCCTTCATAATCTCAATCTGGCAAACAAAAATGCTGAAATCTTTTCAACCAATTAACTTCCTCTGGTCCCTGATTTCTTATTTTCTTATGTATTTAAAAATTCCCAATTCGCTGTAAACCCAGATCGAATGAATTTATTTCATTGATTAATTCAAATGGACTCGGACAAAGTCCTTTATGTCTTGGGGAAAGTTGCCAATTTTTATTTTTATTTTTACATTGTTTTCTTTTCATTTTTAAATTAGCGTAACACGAATTTACAAAGGACGATGACCATATTAATGATATACTCTTGAGGGCCATATAAGTTCATATATGGTTCCATCTCAAAACTAATTGGCTACGGGGGGAATAGCACATGTTGATCAAATTGGGTTTCCAATTCCAATGTGGAACAAGGGAATGAAGCCATTTTTTATTTCTTTCATTCATTTAACACGTCCCTCTCAAGCCAATGAGCATGGACGTGTAAATTTTATATATTTTTTTTTGTTTTGATTTTTCAATCTTATGATTAGTTATTTTTCCAGATAAACTGTCGTCTGTCAGGCTAGTAAAAGTTCAAAATCAAACCCCGAATTTTTTCGATTGGTTAAAGTTTTAAAGTCAAATCCCAAATCTGGGTAAGTCAAAGGTCGAATATTAGTCAGTCAACCTTACCCACAAGTCTTACAGGTCTGCGGGCACCCGCTCTGATATCATCTTGAAGGCCCACATAAGCTCAGATGTGGTTTCACCTCAAAACCAATTGACTATGAGGGAATAGCACATCATGAGCTATATATGTTGATCAAGTTGTGTTCCCGACTTCAATATGGAACAAGGAAATGAGGACATTTTTTATTTCTTTCATTCATTTAACATGTACATACTTAACTTGGTTGTAGACTTGAACTATTGAAGTCAATAGACTTTTTCTGTGGCGGCAATTCAACAAAAATACATTGATTATTTCCTTAACCTCACCTGCCACCACCACTTACGCCTGACCTGATCAACGACATAGTGTTAATTAGTCATCGTTTAGTAAAAATCCTGAATTTGATCGGAATTGAGTATATGTTAGATTGTATTACGTAGCCGGAGATATTTTAAGTTATACCTACTATTAATAGTAGAGTCCCGCTATTAAATAAACTATATCACGACTAATGGAATAGGAAATGAATTTTACTCGAGCATAAATTAAGCTTGATAGATGGCCAGAGGAGCTCGAGATTTGCGAGAAGCTGGATTTATAGGAGTTAGCCATACTTAGAAAGAGGAGGGTAGACTAGCTAAAACAAGAAGCTGACAAAATTAACTAGACGGTCAATTTATCTTGAAATCATATTAATGGTTAATATGGACGTTTAGAGTTTGGGTATAGTCTGGTATACCACTTATTCTGGTCCCAACTGCATTTAGGTCATTAATTAATATCTATACACACCCGAAGTTCTAAACCCTAAGTTATGCATAAATGAACTTTGTCGCAGTTGTATAACTAGTTGGTCTCAATTAGCTAGTTTAAAATAACAAATTTTTAAATTTGCATTACTGCTAAAATGAACCATTTTACTAGAGAAAATGATGTTCATTTAGGGGCACACAAATAAATTCAACAAATAGATATCCATGTATATACGAGGAGATTTTGGAGGCTTGCAAGGATGGTTTTGAACCTAAATTCGGTTTTATTCGAGGAAAGCGACTTTATAATCTGCAGGATACACCACCTTTTCCTTCTAGCGTAACCTTCAAGTTTATCGTAATTTTGAGGCGACCTTATTTGGCCTCCACTAATAAATAAATACCAAAGCTATTCAACCCACAACCCCATTCGTAGAAATCCCTGTTAACACATCAAATCACCGATTAAATAAATCCTAATTATATAATGAGAAATCATTTTGGGAGAATAGCTTTAGTCAAATTGCCTTGTTGTGATGATGTGGCGTTACAAACGTAGTATTGATTGATGACGATGAGAGTTAATAGGTTTAGTGGGAATCAAATCATCTTGGGATAAGGCTGAACCAGATGACACATTTACCGGTCACCAGTGTCAAACGAAGTAGAAAATAGAAGTAGCTTTGATGACAAAGGGGTCTTTTTCTTTTTTCCACCATAATAACTCGAAAAGAAATTGAATGCGCGGGGCAGTGCACGTAATATATTGGTCTAACCCTAGCTATTGATTAATCGGATATGCTTCTAAATTGTTAAGTAAATTTTCACACAATTATTACATTTTACCATGTGAATGATATGCAATGTTTTTACACTGGTTATTTTCAGCATAAGTTCCATAATATTGATCCTGAGATTTTTCTTTTCCAAATTTTCATATAATAATTACCTAAATTCCATCTTCATTTCTCGGGAAATCTATAACATGGATCATCGTCACTTAGAGACTAATACAGGACCCATATCTCACTATATGACTAAGTATCTTAGTTTAATAACAATACACTTACATAATTTATAGATAGAGAATCCCATAGTGCAGTAGTTAATTATATAACCTTGGTTTTGTTTCATTTAATTAATTTCACCAACTAGCTATCCATCCTCTCATATTTCCCATTGTCTATATAACTTGCCAATATTAATGCCACGAGGTCTGAAATCACGCTCAGAAGTCAACACTCTTTCAATTTCTTGCTCTTCAAGTTCAAACATTCCGAATTTCCACCGAAGAATGTTTCTAAAGAAAAGGAAACGTTTTGATCAATTTTTTTGTTTTCACTAAACCCCACAATTAATCCGATCTAATGTTTATTTTAACATTGTATACATAACACTACGTAGTCTCAAGTCCTTTGATTGTCAAGTACACCTTTCTTTCTCTTTCCGATGCCATAATTTTAACAATTTTATTGGTAATTAACTATAAAAAATATATTAATTCTAATAACTTTCTTGGTTAGCTTAATCCAAATTTTTTTTTCCCACCTGTGTACGTAAGTTAACTGTACATCCGAATAGAAAAACGTACATAAAATCGATGACGATAGCTTATACGGAAATCCAGTCAGACTCAGAATAATAAGAGATAAAATGTGATAGAATTTTGATAATCTAATGTTCTTTTTTATTTTCTCCCCCGTCAATGATATTTTTGTTGACCACCTCATTAACAAGCTGTTAAAGCGTCATTATCAAAGTTTTTCTTTTTTTTTTTAAAAAAAACATACTTAATTCGTCATCTACCCCAAAAGGGCAGCATTACATTTACACCAATGCAAATCTGGCTCCGCCACTTAGTTAATCATGGCCTATTTAAGTTTCACTTCAAAAACGTTAATACCAACAGTAATTAATTAATTGGTCCAAACAAACTTAACCAGTTTAACTATTTTAGAATTCATAGTACGTGAGTTCAAATTCGATTCATCTTGTTAGAAAATTTAAGATACCGATTTTCCTTCTCTGTTTAACGCGTAAATCCTTGATGATTAATGACTAATATATAATCCACTTTAGTACGGGAACTAATGTTTCGTTATCTCCCATATGAACGGCAATAATGAAATGTGACGCGAAGAGCTTTTTCCTTCTTTTTTTTTTAACCTTTCTCTTTTCTTTTGGAAGACGTACCCACTTCCCACTAATATCTACAGGTTCGGAGAACAAGTGTTTCTTCTCTATTTCTGCATTACAGAAACGCAACTTTTGGACTTTTGAATGTGTTGGATTAGCAAAGATACAACCCGGATTCCATCATGCAACGTGATTCGGGTGCCAATCCGAAAACGCACTACAAATTTATACTCCCTCTGTCCTAAAATTATTGTCCAGTTTGAGATTTCGCTTCTAGTACAATTTGAACTAAAAATAAAAATTCAAACTGAATAATAATTATGGGACAGAGGGAGTATAACTCCATAAATATATATAACCTTTTCATCTCGTTGAAATAGTCCATTATTTCGTGGGAAGAGAATAGTATAGCACATATTTAAGGTAATCAGACAAAATTGCGCATAAGAAGCTGTTCAAAATGTTTGTTAGGTGGCACTTCCACCAATAAACAACTAGCGAACAAGAAACACAATCAATTGAAACAAGACAAAAAAAAAAAAAAAATTGGAAAATTAAGCTTTGATGAAAATGAAACAATTTCTATATCATCCGTCTTCTCCTTCCCCCCTCCAACGATCAATCAATAAAGGGGGAAAAAACATGTATAACTTATCCAGCCAGCTCTACTTCCTAACTGTGGACTACTCCAAATGTCTCTTATTTCTTGATGCAGCACCATTCAGATTTTGGGAAATAAATAGGATTACAATGTGGTCCTGAATTCACACTTCCTTGCTTCTTTCCTTCCATCAAATGAGGAAGTGAAAATGGACGCTTCTCTTCTTTCTTTTTTTTTTTTTTTTTTGTTTTTTGTTTTTCCCTAGTTTAGTTTGGAGACAGGATAGCCTTAAAACAAACATTAAATTAACACTGGATGTTATGATACTAACAACATTGTGTTTCAATTCGATCTTTTAATTTGAAAACTCATTTGGTTGTTAAAACCAGTCTAAATCAGAACTCACTGACAACATTACCTAGATAACTCGTCATCATAAAATTAATCTCTCAAAATACATTTTTCCTTCCTCAAAATTAATCACCCCTCCCGCATACATCAACATCAGCAGTGCCCATCTTTTAATATAAAATAACCAAGCCTACTTTTTTTTTTTTTGGTGGAGGAGTCAATTGCTGTGATTTTGGTCTTGCAAGGAAGCTCTGGCAATTCCAAACCAAAGTGCTTCCTCAACAGATGGAAGGGGCTTTGTCGCTTCTTACTAGTTTCGGTAACAGTTGGAATTCCCCTCAAAAGTTGAGAAAATTAATCAACCACATGTAGAGCTCAGAGCAACAACAGTACAATAACCATTTTTGTCTAAAAGCTCCCGCAGGATGCATGTGTCCAGTCTTGATACTAACATCATTTAAATGGATTTAAAACAAACCTAACATTTGTATGTACATTGTTTTGTTTAGAGTTTTGTTTTGGTAGGAATATTCAAACATTGTAATCATCAACGTACGTTCCTTGTCTCGACTTGGGCATTTTGCAAAAATCTTATATATGATTGGGCACAACCAACGGCCGCCAGTTTCAAATTTCGATCCCACAGATTAAAGAGACTCCGGCTGATTATAATCCCCATATTTACCAACATGCTTCTAGAACAAAGATATATACTTCCAACGTTCTCCGTTTTATTGAGTATTCCCCATACATATATTGATGGACAATAGATTAAATATATCATATTTGAGTCTTTTATACAATATTGATCATAAATTACTCAATTATGGAGAACCCTAAAACGACATCTAATCCAAAACTAACGAGTCAGAATAGCCCGGCAGCTAGGTAGGCGTAACAACAAAGTGTGCAATACTCTGGCGTCAGGCGTGTCTTTGCCTGCTGAAAAAGAAAACGAAAGGGACTCGAATTCTTTTTTTTCATTATTATTATTAAACATTGTTTGGAGTTGTTACATTTTTGTGTTATTTACACTTTGTGTGGCTAGTTTAGTTGTATTTCGATCATTTCTCTAAATCAAATAATTACAATTTTAAAATGATTCTCTGGATTGGATTTTTAGTTTCATTACAATTTTAACTAAACGGGTCGGAAAGAGTATGCTTTTTTAAGGTGTTTGGTATTAGTTATAAAGGCGCCTGTGTCAAGTTTTTTTAAAAATAAAAAATAAAAAAATGTGAGAAACAAATACAATGAAACTTCATCGTGGAATCCAAATCAAATCATGAAAATTTGAAACTAAAATTGAAACCATTGGAACAAGATTTAAGGAGCTGTTTGTTTTGCCGGAAATGGATTCAAGGAATGGAGTCTGAATCCCTTACAGAGGTTTCTTTTTTCTTAAGTAGTACTAAAATCTGCATTTCCATCTATGTACAAAAATGAAGTTGCTTATCAATCATGATGTTCATCATATCAAAGGGTGTCCTAAAACTTTATTCCCTCTTCCCCTTTCTGCTCAGCAAAAGGCAGCAATGGTATTCATCCTCCACAATTATATACATATCACATACAAACAACAATCTTGCCATTTTCAAAACACCCTTTTACCTTTTAACTCCAATCAATACATTTCCCCTTTCAGAAAAGGTTCTTGATCATCACCCAAATTAAGAGATTACACAGGAATTCGGGTTCTCTTCTTGGCTGAGATGATAATTACTATATTGATCCTGAGCCTTGTAGGGAGTGTAATATCCTGTGGGGGGAACATAATAATGTTGGTGTGCCTGAGCCAGGTATTTAGCGTAATAATCTTTGTAATTTTTCAGCAGCTCTGCCGTGATTTCATCTTCTTTCTTCTTCTTTTCTTCCTCTTTCTTCTTGTTTTCATCTTCTTTCTTCTTGTTTTCATCTTCTTTCTTCTTGTTTTCAGGCTCTTTTGCTGGTCCAACTGTAATTATTTCAACATTCCACTTCTTCTTCCTCAATTTGCTCACAACTTTGACGGGATCAAAATCCCCTGTCACGGTTAATTTCCAGTCTTTGTCCATATTCAGAGAATCAATCCCTGCATTCATAGGATGAATTCAGTCAGATCGGTGTGAAATTTCGGACCCAAATCATTTACTCTGTGTGTGTGTGTGTGTGCCCGGAATGAAACTAAAAGACAAACCTTCGAGACTTGAAACTGTTTTCATAACCTTCTGTTTGTCCTTCTCGTCATTTATGAATACCTTCACCACTAGCTTCTGAAACCATGGATATTGAACAATCAGAAACAAATTTTAACAGATCCTCCGAATCAATCGAAAAATAATCAAAGATCAACTAGCAATTACGAGTGATTCATCATCATCGTCATGCTTTATTTTGATCATCCATTCAGAAAGGCAAACAGGGTACTCTGTTTTAGTGTTTTATTTTGATCATTTAGTCTTTTCCACTCAGAAACGAGTAATACATTAAAACAAACGAGATTTTAAAACTTCTGGCCATGGGTAACAAATAAGAATTGCAGAAATCTAGAAGAAAAAGGTTCAGGCTTTATAAGAGGGAGATATTGTTTTTGAAAGACCAGGGAAGAAGTCAACTGTAAAAGTCTAAAATACAAGAAAGTCTCCTAATTTCTTCCCAGAAATTTCCATGGCTAACTGAACCCAACCCAGAAACAGAACAAAGACAGATGGGCTCAAAGTGAATCAAACCAGAGAATTGATTAAATAAATAATTCCAAACTTGATTATCGATTAAGGGGAACAAACAACACATGATAAGAACATATAAAAGAGACTGGGAAGGAAATTTCACCTTCTTTTCAGACATGTTGATGATGAAGATGATGATTTCTATAGATTTGACTTAAGAGACTTTGAGAAAGACCTTTATCAATGAGAGAAGGAAGCTGCAAAATTTCAGAGATGAGAAGAGAGTCTCTGGAGTAGGAAGTATTAAATTGAGCAAAAAAAATAGAATTTGTTTCAATTCTTATGGGTCATGCATGTATATATAGATAAAGTACTACTCCAAGTAAAGAAAGAATAAAACAAAAGAAAAAAGGAAAAGAAAAATAGAAGAGATTTATGAAGTCATCAAAGGGAAGGTAAGTGGAAATTGGCTTGTTGAGCAAGGACAAATTGGAGAGAAGATCAACCAAACGATTTTTTTGAAGAGTAAGCAAGTGAACATGCGCTAGTCAATAAGTCAACTCTTACGACACTTTGGTTGAAATGGTATTTTATGGTTTTGATTTTGACTTTGATCATTTCCTTTTTTTTCTTTTTTTTTTCTCTTGTGGCGTTAGCAAACAGCGATCACTTCTTATGATTGATAATGAGGTATAATTTCGATGATCTTTTTACTTATTTTTATTACCTTTAAAAATTACCAGTTACATCAAATCGTTTGAAAAATACTTGATAAGTCTTTATCTTCCGAAAGAAGACCTACTTGGTTTGGATCCGAATTAATAGAAATAACAATTCCGAGCACCACCAGATGCGCATTATACTATATATCTTCTAAATTACTAATTACTCATCAAGAAAACTTTCAAACAGGACGTGAAACGAGACCGACTTGGATGGTACCGGAAGCACAGTACATCCCTACATTATACACGCGCACAAAGTTAGATGACACGCTCAATGGCAAGTCTTGAAAATACGATCTCAATTGTCACCACCTTTACATTAAATGCATCATCAACACCATATTTCCCATCATCTTCGCACACAAACACACACATATAGTCGACGGAAAAACTTCTTCGTTTCCAGTCATAAAATCATATACAAAATTCACCATAAAAAAACTTTCGTTTCTGTTCTGAGATAGTTGAAATAGGATTTTCCGGCATCGTCACATGTAATTATTCAAAGATATTTGAAAGAGGATTTTCCGATCAAACCAACTAGGAATGTCCAGAGTCACTCCTGCAGGTAAATCGCTTGCTTCTCCGGTAAACACTTTTTTGTTTGCTTCGCTTTCATACTAAGACTTTACCTTCGAGTTTTGTTTCCTTCATTTCCAATTAAAATATCACACTCTTACTTTTTGCTTGTTTCTCGTGAAATTTTTAGGAGTTTTCGACTGGTTAATGCTCAACCCGTAAGTATAGTACACCATCTCTTGTAATTTTTTCAATTTTCTTGTGCTTATCCTTAAGATCTATTATGGTTATCCACACTATATCTATTGTACTATGCATACTATGAAATTTTTAATGTTTATTGTTCACTGAATCTGAGCAAAATTTGAAAGCCTGACCTTCAACATGCTTGGCCACTTCTTTTGCATGTCTGACTCTTTTCATTGCTTATCCAATTTTCTTGTACTGGTTATCCATCCAGCTTATTCTGGTTATCCAATGATGCCATGCCTCTCTGTTAACTCTATAAATGATTGTGCTGAACTGCAATACCTTGAGAAACTTAACAATATAAATCTTTTTCTGATTGACCTTGAACATGCTAATCTGTCACTGTGCACTACTTATACATGTTTTAATCATCCTTGGACATTCTGTTGTGTATCCGTCTGTTTTCACTGCTTATCTAATTTGTATGTACTGCTTATCCATACACATTGTTCCGGTTACCCAATGATGCCATGTCTCTCCGTTAACTTTGTATATATTTGTGTACAGTCTGTTTTTACTGATTATACAATATGCATGTGCTGGTTATCCATCCAATTTTTCTGATTATCCAATGATAACATGCCTCTCTGTTAACTCTGTACGAGCTTGTGTCGCGTCTGTTTTTACTGCTTATCCAATTAGCTTTTAGTGGTAATTAGCTGTTTTTACACATTGTTGTAGTTTACCAATGAACTATGTTGTAGCATCCACATTATCTATTGAATTTCCTATCCTTACCAACCTTTTGCCATGCTTGCTCACTTATGTTGCATGTCCATCTATTTTCACTGCTTATCCGATTTGCTCGTAGTGGTTATCCATCCACCTTGTGCTTCTTATCTAATTTCTGCTTGGACTGGTTATCCCTCCACCTTGCCCTTGGTTTTCTTCTATTGCCATGATTTTCTCCTCTGACTTTTTATTGATTATCCATCCCCAGTAACGAATCAAGAACAAAATAGAGGCACGATCTCTGCATGTCTACTCAACAATACCTATCTGGAGGCTATTTTAAGATTTACGATCTCAACCGCAAAAGAAGTCGTTCACCTCAACCCGAAACAATTCAAATGAAGCTTCCTGAAGAAACTTTGACAATCTTTGAGGAAAGCAAACCACACCAGCCTGACTCCCCTCCAAGACTTGTCCTGCTCCCTATGCAGCCGAAACAAAGAAAACAAAGAACACCAGGACAAAAAGGTAAAGAATCAGATTTGGTCCTGCATGAGCCAACACGCAAATTACCAAGAACAACTAAAAAGAAGCAACTTGTTGATGCCAATAAACCTACAAAAGCTACCAGAAAGAAAGCTGAGCAAAAACTGGTCATATCAGAAGATCCAATGCCCATTGATACTCGCCCACGCAAAGAAAAACCATTTGACTGCAGGATTGCCCCTAAATTTCTACACAAGGTGATAAAAGCCGTTAACGGGTAAGAAGATTATCGGCATCTCTAGAGAGAGGCCCAGAGAATTGGGTTTTGGTTCCCTACTGAACCTCAAAATTGAATCAATTCCACAAGCTCTCTCCCACTTTTTGGCTGGTAATTTCCAGACTGGGTGCAAAACAATAAGACTAGACAACGAAGTGCCAGATTTCACAGAGGAGGATGCTGTTGCTATCCTCAACCTTCCTTATGGGCCAAAGAAATTGGAACAATTTAGCCCGAATGAGTGGGATTATCCAAAGTACGTTGAACATGTGGATGCGTGGAGAAAGATGATGGACCACAATGGGTTACCCGTTCTCAAAAGTAAAGCTGCAGATATACTTTCGACACAGGAAGACTAGGGAGATGATTTTAAGATAGATTTCATCATATTTGTTGCGTACACCTTCCTCCATGGCAACAAAAGCTCAAGAATCAGTTTCAACGTCCTGAAAAGCCTTATCACCTTGGACGATGTTAAAGAATACAATTGGTGTGAATTTGTCATCGACGGACTAATTGACGGATGCAACGAGTACCAAAAAGTGAAAACATTCACCGGATCAATCACATTCTTCGCGGTATTTACCATAACTGTCTTATTTACCAAAGCTTATACTGGTGTGAATTTCTTTATATAGTGCAAATCCATCCCATCCTACTGGTTATCCATGTTGATTCTCTTTGTTATTCTTTTTATTTATTCTACCTACCTGTCGTAGCCATCCTTTTGTCTTCATTCTGTTTATGAATATTAACAAGAGTTATATCTTTTTTTTTCGGTCAGCTTTGCTACGTTGACAGGTGCGAGTACCAGCACCAACATCCAAGATCATTCCCTGTAATAAGATGTTGGGATGAACAGATGCTGGCTAACCGAGTAAGACGCCAGGAACCAAACTTTACAGATGTTCAGTTACTTACGCGCATTGAAAAAAACAAACAGAAGAACGGAAGGAAGAACAATGTCATCAAATGGAAGAACAGAACGAACCTAACACGCAACAAATGGAGGTAATCGAACATGCTTGTCCAAAAAAAATTCCAGATTATGCCTGCGTATCCATACCAAAAAAAAAAGGAATAAAAGGTAACTTGCCTATATTCACTAACTTCATTTGCTTTGCAGGACCTATCTTCTTGCTACAAAATGCTATATTGAAATGCCATTTCCCTCAGCAAGATCGTCATTGAGATACGCCTGAAGGAATCTGAATTGAACATTGAACCCACTAAACACATAAAGACAACAATTAAGTGTTTATCGGAAGCAATGTTGAACATGACCACGAGGATACCTTTAGACGAACAACAACAGCAACAAGAGGGAAATCCGCAGCAATCATCCAGTGCCAACATCCAATTCTCACAAAATGTTCTTGACCTGCATATTTTAGAATTGTGTGGAAAGGGAATACAAGCAACAACAAACAAATTTGAAAAGATCATTGCACAAATGCAGAACAATGAACAGAAACTAAACACACAAAGATCGCTGATGATCAAGAAGAAGAAGAAGAGACTTATCTTTCACAAGCTAAAGGGCTAGACCAACTGAGTGAAACTAATGAAGGAGAATGCTTGCCATTAAATCCTGAAACAGGTATAGTAGCTCCTTACCTATTATTTATTACAATTCCAATAATTATACATTCACTCTCTGTAATATATTCATGCTTTTTCCTTGCAACACCTCCACAAAAAGGTTCCTAAGAAAAAGATGAAGCAGCAAAAGGTTCTAAACTAGGAGGAAGATGAGAATTTGAAGAAAATGCCAAATCTGATATAATTGGGTGATCCAATAAAGAATCTACCCGGCATGGGGAAAACTTTACAGAAAACAAATATTCTTCTTATACAGTGGATGTTCCAATAATGATCCTACAGATAATGTCGTCCAACATCTAGGTGCAAATGCCACACATAAACCACTACAAATGTCAGGCAGTGGCGATAAACAAGCCCCAGGTAGTCCAGCTTTGATGATGGCTGGCCAATTTATTTGTTGCGTATCCGTCTGTTTTCACTGCTTATCCAAATTGATTGAACTGGTTATCCGCACACATTGTTCTGGTTACCCAAATAATGCAATCCTCTCTATTAACTCTGTAAATGCTTCTGTAGAGTTTGTTTTTCATTGCTTACCCAAAATGCTTGTACCGGTTATTCGTACACATTGTTCTGGTTACCCCAATGATGACATTCATCTCTGTTAAACTCTGCAAATGGTTTTGTTGAACTGCACCTCTGATATGCTTTTTTCATTGACCTCTAACATGCTTATCTGTTGATTTTCATATCCTTACCAACCTTTTGCCATGCTTGCTTAATTTTGTTGCTCTAACATGCTTGTCCGTCTGATCTAACCTAAACGATTTTTTTTTTATAACACGTGCAACAGGAAAGACCCAACAGTCACCTATTCCATGAAAAAGACAATCACAAAATCCAGAAGAAAGAGAGTAAAGAAACCAAGTGATATCCCTGGATTTGGACTGGGTTTTTTCTCTTGTGATAGTAGTGGAAATTACGATACAACACCAGGATAGCAACCCTGTCAAAGCTGATGAGGAAGGACATGTTGATGATGATACTAACATACCGGATGAAATCAATGAAAAAATCAATCCCAATCCTCACATTTAAGATGACATAGAATAAGCCACTGAATCAGCTTCCAGGTCATGCCTATCCAGCAGCCTACATGTGATGGCTGCAGTTGTGGAACATGCTACAAAGAATCCTCAAGTGTTGGAAGTAACCCCTTTAAAAGTGTTTATGCCCAACCAAAAGCAGCCAATGGTGCCGTATGACAGCTATACAACACCACTACGTGCACTCTCGGACAAATCAGATCATCGTGATGAAGAGTTGCAAAAACCAGTGGAAAAGTAAGTAAATGATTGCATAAGTTTCATTCATCATTTATCCCAAACAACATTACCAAAACAACATATACTAACCAACTCTCTTTTCTTTTATTCCAAGATCCTGAATCCTCAAAGGAGATATCCAGAAATATTTCACCTGTTGTCCGCATGGTTTAGGTCGTCATTCTGCCTGCAGAAGAAAAATAAGAGCAAATTTGAAAAGTGGACATATAAGGAAGTAAAGATGATGAAAGAAGATGTACTGCTGATAGACTTTGCTCTCTTAGTAAAAAGAAAAGAACATATGGTTCGACCAAGGTAATCACCAGTACCCTTACTTGTAAGAAAAATACTTGCCAGTGAATCAACACCACCTTATTTGTCTATTTGACTACTTTTTTCATGCAACAAACCCCTGTTCGAGTACAAAAGAGTACTTTGTGCAGATCGGTAGACATTTTACTCCATGAGGGAAGGGAAATGGGAGGAACATCAGATCATAGATGCATGGGTTGTCCTCCTAAACTTAGAAGAAGTGAGGAATACCACACGAAATCGGATATACTTCGGTGCTTCTTTATATGTAATTCATCTAAACCCTTGTTGTTCCCCCCACCCCCATGCATTCCTAATTCTTTACACGACTCAGAAGATTTACACTAATTCTTTATTTGTAAATCTTTTTCCGATTGACCTTGAACATGCTAATATGTCACTGTGCATTACTTATACATTTTTTAATCATGCTTGCACATTCTGTTGTGTATTCGTTTGTTTTAATTGCTTATACAAATTATTTGTAGTGCTTATCCGTACACATTCCCCTGGTTATCCAATAATGCCCTAACTATTTGTTAACTTCGCAAATGCTTGTACAATACCTTCATACTGGTTATCCAAATATGGTTGTATTGATTATCCAATTCCTTAGTACAGCTTATCCAACTATGTTTTTTTACTCGTCTAATGTGTTCAAACTATTTATCCAACTATGTTTTCTTACCTCCTTGTTTTTTTGACAAAGATATTTTTTTTACTGTGTTTGATACTAATTCCAATCATCATTTCAATTCTACTGTTTACTTACCATCTCAAACAATAATGCAGCAACAAGTCAGTCACTATGATAAAAACCCTGACAAAGAAAATTTCCAATTCCTATTTGAAACGAGAATACAGCTTGAACTACAAGACCAAGGCATGACAACGGATAACATGATATCAGCACAAGCTGTAAGCAACTTTTTTAGTGCATTTCTTTTTTCTAAAATGCATTATAAAACATAATGATACAGAACTCCCTTGTAATGTTAAAATACCATATCTACTTCCCAGTATACCACAAACAACACTACTTCCTATATGTGTTGCTGGTTCAAGAGAAGAAAGTGCTCATGTTCAACAACCTCCTTGCGGATGGCTACAACTACTATGAACCATCATTATTATAAGAAGTCCGTCAATGTTGCAAATGAACATTATCATACTTTTAGGAATTATAGTTTGCATTTGGCTGATCCCTGCATTTTTTTGGCATCACAGTTTTACGTCTTCAATGCTTTCATTCGAAAACTCTATAATTATGAACTGGTCAGTTCTGATAAGTTTGAAGATGTTACACTACCATCGCATAGCACGAGACAGAAGAATTTTGTAGGTTGTGGAATGTACACAATGTTTCATATGGAAAAGTATGATGGTGGTAGCACTCTTGGTTTCAAGGTACAACTTGGGCAAGACAAATCAAGAAAAATCAAAAGCTACCGATGAGAGTACTTGCCACTGATCCTAATGCACCCAGACAATGCACAGAAGAAATCCATCCTGGAAAACATGCAAAAAATTCTATGAAGATATTGTTCATGAAATTCCACATGAAATTGAAAATCATGTTGATCTGAGCGCAAAATTTTACAATAATGACAAAATATGGAAATATAAATTCTGATAATGTACTTTCTACTGAATTATCTTGTATAAATGACATAGTGGTGATTCTAAGTAGTTGGATATCCAAGAGTTTTGTACTGCCTATCCTAGAATGTTATATTGCTTATCCAATCTTTTCATGTTGATTATCCAATGGTCTGTATCGCTTATCCAACGTGTTTGTACTAGTTATCCAACCAATGTATATTGGTTATCCAAATATTTTCGTAAATTTCCAAAAGCATGATGATGATGGAAAATCATATTGATGAAAAATACATGAAGAATATAAAAAGAAAAAAACGAAAAAAAGAAGAAAAAATGAATGAGGGGAAGTAATCTAACTGTCATTAAGGAGTTTCTCGTTTATCATGATGGGGGGTGTAAAATAAAAAAGAAAATTGAAAAAGCTGATGTTTGCAAAATACATGATCCAATGGGCAGTTAAAAGCCACACGTTTTTAAATGGAATACATTGAATAAGGATCAGTTATATAACTGTCATTAAAGGAATTTCTTGATTATCATGATGGACGGTTAATGAAAAGAGACTGAGAAGACAC